AGCTAATAGGGGCTCTCTGTACTTCATGCATTAAACAGATTGTCACACTATTTCACAAGCCTTCCTTGCTCTGGTCCATGGCTACCAAGCCGCTTGTCAGAGTACTCCCCACACTGCTGTGCCTGTAACAATTTTGATCACGGCCCTTGACTATACCATCAAATCCGAAGTCTTTAACCTTCTGTAACCCAGCTTTGTCTTTCTCAGCCTTTCACCGGCTCACACTTCTAAATGAATTCCTAGTTTACCCAACCTGGTCTACTTAATAACCAACAGGCCTGTGTTCTGCATATCTGTGCCATTTCCTCCATCCACAAGACAGCTTGCTCATGGTTCTTTAAAGTTCCTAGTAAACTTCACATCTTCCCAGGTGACCATAATAAGATAGGAGCACTCTCCAGAATGTTACAGCTGAAGGAAAATCATCTATTGCTCCATCTGCAAAATGAGTTTTGAAGACTCTCCCCTCCATCTATAAAATTAAAATGTCTGGGGAAACCACAGCCGGGGAATTTAAAATGCTGGTCTACCTGAACACTGCTGGGTTTTCTTTTTCCTTTAAAGATTTATTTATTTGTGCATACAGAACTGGGGTACAGGATAGAGATGCAGGGGGCGGCGAGAGGATTCACCAGACACAGAGTGGGGAGCAGAACAAGACGACTGCTGAAGTGCACTGCTGAGGGGAGCAGCGGGCAGGTCAGGAGAGGTCTGCCGCGCCATGTGGTCACCTCCGGGGCAGGCGGGGATCGAACTCATGCTGAAGTGGCTTTAGCTTCTTAGTACTGTGCCTTAACCTGCTGTGCCACCAGGGGTGGCCCTGTGTTTTCCTTTTAATATTTTTTTCTTAAGTGTTTCCTGTGTCCCAGAAGCTGTCTAGACACTTGGGGTTTGAGCTGGCAAGAAAGAGTGACTGCATGTCAATTACCACAGAAACTTCCCAGTGCTTTGAGAAAGGAGAAGTACAGGGGCCAGTGATGTCTGCATTGCTCCTAGTGGAGGGGAGGCATGAAGGTGCTCTAGTGTGGGGGAGACAGGAAAGGTGAATTTAGGCCAAGAAGATGAGGAAGGCTTCCGTGTGGGGGACACCTTTGTGGAGGCAATCTACTCTGCAAGAGGAAGTGATTTCCACTGGTGGAAGGAGGGTCTCGGCAGGCATTTCCAAGGAATTCAAGGAAGGTCTTGGTGCTGGACTCCCATGGGTTCGGGAGAGAAGGGCTTACGGGTTGATAATGGAAAGGCATGGCAGGAGGGTCAGAACACACTAGGCCCTGGGAGACCAGACTGAAGATTTCTGGGCCTTAATGTAGCACAGCGGGCTCTGGATAGTTTTGCCACGATATTTCAATCAGGGCATGGTTTACCCTGGCAGGGGTGAGAGGGGCAGTTATGCGGCCAGAATTTTTGTTTTATTTCAATTGATACATTTTCTGTATTCCTATCATTCTTTGGTGGATGTGTGATCTCCTTCAAATTCAAGTTTAAAAAGCAAGCTTGTGGGCCCTCCCTGGTGGTGCAGCAGGTTAAAGCACAGCACTAAGGAGCTAAAGCCACTTCCTCATGAGTTCGATCCCCGCCCCGGAGGTGACCCACATGGCGTAGCAGACCTCTCCTGACCTGTCCGCTGCCCCACTCAGCAGTGTTCTTTGTCAGTTCTGCCTGTTCTGCTCCCCACTCTACCTTGGTGAATCCTCTCACAACCCCTTCACCTCTGGCCTGCACCCCAATCTTTTTTTTTTTTTTTTTAAAGCAAGCATGTGACCTGGTGCAGACAGCCACTTTCAGTGGGTCCACTGGCAGGTGACAGGAGTCACAAGTGTGGGAGGACATCTGTGCACCTGTGAACACTTAGGGGAATAGAGGTCTCAAGTGTTTTATAAAAGTGAAGCAGTCCACCAAGTACAAGCCAATGGAAAGTGCCACCTTGCCACGCATTAGTGCCAACATTCCCTATGTCTTCTCCCGCTTCTTACATACACCCTTTGGAGGAAAATGTTTTCAGAGACAACACAATTTTTCCAAGGGTTATTTTAGTGGTATCTTACTTTTCTATAAGTAATGAAATAAAAAATGCAATCACAAGTGTATTTCCCCAAAATTGCATTTATAGCAAGGAAACTGTATGATTTATTTATTAATAAAAGGATAATTATAATTTTTTGAGCAACTTTTGTGCTCAAGATTTTGTGCCAGGCAATCTTAAAACAGATTATTTAATTTAATCCTCACAAAGCTTGAGAGGTGCATGTTATACTCCATTTCGCAGATGAGGAAATGGAGGCTTAGAGAAGCATTTCTCCCAAATACACGCACCTCAGTTATGTGGATATTCAACATTTGAAACATGGCTTAATCTAAAGTGATATGCGCCATAGGATTGATTATACGCCAGGCTCTGAAAACTTAGGATGAGAAACAAATTAAAATGTCTGAACAATTTCTGAATATTAATTACATGCTGAACTAACAATAAAATGCATTATTAAAATAAATTTTACTTGGCTTACTTTAAGAACAGCTACTTGTGGCTCATATGATATTAGTATGCTGCTTTAAAGTAAAAGTCAGCTTTTGCCAGGAAGAACCAAGGTGAAAGAAGCCAGATGCAGAAGAAAAAGTAGTAGAGGCATGAATCCATGCAGGTCCGGGTTTAAACAGCCTCTCCCTCCATAACGCTTTGGGCAAGATACCAAACTCTGTCCTTCATTTATATCATTTGCACAATGGGATAGTAAATGTTCTCGACAACTGCTGTATACAAGACATCAGGTAGCAGGCAGGCAGAGGGGAGGGGACAAGTAATGATGAATGCTCCCGGAGCAGCTAAGGAGTTGCTAAATTGACAGCAAAAAATCCCCTTATTTGAAAATCATGTTTTATTCCCTTTAAGAGAGAGGAGTTAAAAAAACTCATGCATTGGATGCCTGCATTAGTATAACAGATACTTTATTTAAAGTGTTATCTACATAAGAGATACAGATCCTCTTTCTTTCCAGGAAGTTGTTTATATACACCAGAGGCCACAAGGCCAGATGTAGCCTTGTAGTGAGATATAAAATATCAAGACACAGATGTGCCCCATTGGTTGAATTCTGAATAAAAGAATGTATGAACTCTTTTGCTGATTAAGATCTTTTTACAGCCAAGAATTGAGATGAGTCACAACTGGGCAAGAAAAAAATCTTATTTTTTTCCCCTCCTCTGGATCACAGTGCAAACAAATAAGTTGTTCCAATACACCGAGTTTGGACTAAGGCATAATTAGCAATCTGCACTAAATCACGTGGACTATAGTATCCAATGAGGTTGGGCCATATTCTGACCCTTGGCATGTGTCAAGAAGTTTGCCCTGGATCGGTCACTTTATCACTGTAGGTATCAGATGTACAGAATTAAGTGTGGAAGGTGGGGCATTTCTTTTGGTTACAATTTGATGTGTGTATATGTAGAAAAACGTGTGACAACACAACAGACTGTCCTGCTCTACATCTGGGTTGCTTGGTTTGCTTGCTAGTATTATGGAGGAAGACTGAAGTCATAATTAAGGATTTGAGCCACTAAAACTCCTTTAAAATATCATATACACATTAAGTTTAACACCAAATGTGGTCATTTGTTAGCTTCAAGAAACTGAATGGGAGAAGGAAAAGCTCTCAGCTTCACAGATCTCAGACCTGTGACAGAGATCATGAAAATGTTCATTGACCCTAGCTTGAAATATAACGGCAGCAAAAACATGTCGCTACTAAAGTGAATATCTGGGGTGAGGTAAGGAGCCAGGACATCCCTTACTTCGTTGCATTAAAAATACACCACCTGCAGTGTTTCTGCAGAGCCCTTGAGTACTTGTACTCTCCGTTCAAAATGAGTGGCTTCAAACTGACTTACAGTGGGGTTGTTTCTCCATTGTGTGTACAACTACCTTCCAGCAATACCTCCCAATCTAGAGTCACAGACATCGACAGGAAAAAGAAAATGAGACTAAATCAAAATTAGGAGCAATAATTAAGAGTAACCAGCCAAAACAGCAATGCATGATTCAACGGTAATGAGGAAACTTGGCTAAAAACTTTCAACTAAGACACTATTGGATTTTTAATGCCTGAGGTCGTAAGGAAAATACACTCCATTTAAGAACAAACCAATAGGTGAAGCCATTTAGGTTGTATTTCCAAAAGGCATACTACAGAAAAAGTTTCTCTCAAGAAAGAGCCTAACTTAGCTGCATTAAGTTTAAATTAGCTAATACTTGAGTCACACCTTGGAAGAAACTTGTCTGGTGTCCATAAGTGCCTTTTTCCAGGGAAGGGTGGGAGGAGGAGGGATGCAAGCTTTAAAAGAAAGTGAAGCCGCACGTCAAGGTGAATGACTTTGGGTGCTTCTACAGGCTGACACCTTTCAAGCCCACGTCTGCGGTTAGGGTGTCTCCCAACGATCTGATGATCTGTCTTTAAAAGTTTCCTCCCCATGGGAGGGAGGGAGGGCTCATTTTTGTACAACGCCCAGGCACCGTGCCACCTTGAGCCTCTGGACTTGACAATTTTACCGTACAGGCGTGAGCAAGCTGTGCTGCTAAGCGTGGCCCAGGTAGACGTTTTTCTTGTTCGACCTGAAAGTACCTCCACTCGGGCTGCTCAGCTCCCTCCTTCCCAACGCCAACCTCCCCGCCCTTCCCCCCGCCGCAAGTTTTAAACTTTCTCTGCTTGGGGGGTTCTGCACGGGCGCCACTAAGAATCTCCAAGAGACAAAGAGCTGCGCCGTGGGCTCCCGGGATGCCCAATTTGAGTGGCGAGACAAAGCGCTCCAATTCGAGATGCACGATGAAGATGAGGCGGCTGAGGGTGGCCAAGCAAAGGAAACCTGTCATCTCACGCCCGAGACCCGGAGCCACGGCCCTGCGCCGCTCCGCCCGCCCACGCCGCCCCGAGCGCCCGGAGTTGCGCCCCGGGACGGCCGCCGGGCGCCCCGCGCAGCCCCCGGCCCGCGCCCCGGCCTCTCACCGCTTCACCCGGATGATCTGGTCCCGCATGGGCTTGATGTCCTGGAAGCTCTGCTGGTTGACGAGGCTGTAGACCAGGATGAAGCCCTGGCCGTTCTTGATGTACAGGTCCCGCATGGACGCGAACTGCTCGGTGCCCGCCGTGTCCAGGATCTCCAGCACCGACGGCGACGAGTCCACCTCGATCTCCTTGCGGTAGAAGTCCTCGATGGTGGGGTCGTATTTCTCGATGAAGGTGCCGGTCACGAACTGCACGGTCAGGGCGGATTTGCCGACCCCGCCCGAGCCCAGCACCACCACTTTGTACTCGCGCATCGTCCCTCCGCGGCCGCCGCCGCCCACGCCGCCCGCG